CAAGGAGAAACTGAGGCTGGAAAAGACCACACTGACAAATAGATAGGAAGTTATCAGTGGAAGTTAACTTCCACTGGACACATGGAGAAGCTGAGGTTTTGCACTTCGTAGGTACAAAAGTGGGGATGTAGGTCAGTTGGTGGAGTGCTTGCCATAGCATGCATTCTGGGTTTGATCCCCAGCACTACATAAATCAAGCGCCATAGGTCCAGCTCTCTGGAAGTGGAGGCAGGAGAATCAGAAGTTCAAGGCCATCCTCAGCTGCAAGGGGAGTTGGAGGCCAAACTGGGCTACATAAAACCCTGTTTAAAAAAGTTAAAAATAGAAACCCTGTGATTCTTGCCAACGGTTACATGGGGAAACAAACCCATCCATCCCTCTAAGCACATACATGGAAGGTGTACCCTTACCCTCGAATACGTAGGGAAACCGAGGCTCGGAGAAAGCCAGATGTTACCATATATGCAGCTGAGGAAGCTGATGCTCCAGATGGAGCCTAATGCTAGAGAGTCCGGCGGAGAGCGCACGAGCGTGAGGCCAGGGTACCTGCACTCAACGCTGGCGCTCTGCAGGGTGCAAGCTGTGGCGCTGCAGCTCCACACTTAGCCCAGCAGCAACAGCCCTCCCTGGCCAGCAAGGATGCTGCGTACTTGTGAGACTCACTCTGACACCCAAGCAATTAGGGGCGCTTCTATCTAGCGGGCAGCAGGCCGTCTTCCGGGATGATGGGACAGGGGTGGGGCAACAGCAACTGGAAACGGCTGAGCAAGAGGAGAGTTACTCTCACTCCCAGCCCTAGGACCGGACCCTAAGGTTGCCAAGCCACTTGTAGAGACATGTCCAACCTTCCTATTAGTCGACAAGCACTATGATCTCTGCAGTAGGACAGCCAGCCCAAGATTATTTCGCATTTGAATTTAGGGTAATGTCACAAAGGACCAAAATTTAAGTTTTATTTAGTTCCCTTTGATTTAAATCTACATAGCCATGTTGGATAATAGCTGTCTGCTCTGTGGTACAACTAGAGATCCTTTCTTTTTGAGGCAGGATCTCATGTAGTCCAACTTCAAGCTTCCTATGTAGCCTATAACTTTGAACCTTTTTTTGAGACTAGGTCAGGCTGGCTGATAATTCGGAACTCATCTGCCTCTGCCTCCGGAGTGCTGGGGTTAAAGATGTGCGTCACCGTGCTCCTCCAACATTGAATTCTTGGTCCTCCTGCCCCCATCCCCTGCATTTGGGAATTGCACTGTGGACCCCAATCAATTAAATTTATTTAATATTTTAATCAGTTTTTGTAGTACTGGGCATTGGACCCAGGGTCTCACACATGCTAAGCAGCTCTACCATTGAGCTATATCCCCAGTCCTCTGAGGCAGTATTTTCAAAGCCAGAAAATGTACACACAATTCAAAATACGAGGTACACAGGAAAAAAAATCCCAACAATCTCTAGATGTAACAAGCAGTTGTAACTAAGTGTATTTATCTTCTTTAGAAAACCACCCATGATCTAATAATTGTGACATCAGGCTGAAATCAAGGGAAGGGTCCCTTAAGTTGTGCTGTCCAGAAGGTAGCCTCTGACCACCTGTGGCCTTTGGTACTTGGCATGTCTGGTCTGCATTGAAATGTGCTGTACTGCCAAATTCCCCAACAGATTTCAAAGATTCAGTAGAAGGTTGGATAAAAGGAATGTCAATAGGGGGTGGGGGAGGGGGTGCCTGGAGAGAGGGCTCAGCAGTTAAGAGCAAGTGGTGTTCTTGCAGAGAACCAGAGTTCAGTTTCCAGCACCCAGTGTGGGCTCACAACTGCTTGTAACTCCAACTCCAGGGGAATCTGATGCTTCTGACATCCAAGGCATGATGTGTGACACACAGAGGCATACATAATTTATTTTTAATATATACTCTTATTGAACTTTTGTGCATTTCATACAACAAATCTTAATCATATTTAGACCTTATCCCCCATTCATAGCCCCCCCACACCAGATTTCATTCATTCTGTCATATATGTTTATTAAGGCCTATCAAGTCAAACTTTTTACCCAGATGTCCCTTGGTGCAAGTTCATGGACTGGAGTCTAATCAGCCTATCTACTCTCCCTCATCCAGCAGTAATTAGTTGCCAATAGTCCTCAGCTAGGGTTGGAGCCTGCTGCCCATTTCCCTAGTTCTATGTCTGATGAGTCTGCATGGGTCTTGTGTATGATGTCACCATTGCTGCAACTTCATATGAGCAAGTTCCCAGAGGCCTGGAAGACTCTTTCCTTATGATCATGCACCAAGCCTGGATCTTACAATCTTACTGTCCACTCTTCTGCAATAGTCCCTAAGCCATGGGTGGGTACAAGTTTTAATATAGGAGTCCTTCCAGGGACACACACTCTGTAGTCTCTGACTTACACCTTGGCCAGCTGTGGCCTTCTGTGTGCATCGCACTCTGTACATAAGGAAGCTTCGCTGGTGAGAGTTGAGAGATGTATTAGCATTCTCTGTATTCCCTGTTCCATGCAGAGGCATAATTTATAGTAACAAAAATAAAGGGCTGGGTGTGGTGGCGCAAGTTTTTAATCCTAGCACTGGAGAGGCAGAGGCAGGCGGATCTCTGTGAGTTCAAGGCCAGCCTAGTCTACATAGCAAGTTCCAGGCCATCTGGGGCTACAGGGAGACCATCTCAAAAAGACCAAAAAAAAAAAAAAAAAAGTCAGTTTACGAGATGGCTCCGGGCTTAAGAGCACTAACTCCTGTTCTAGGGGATCTGACTCCCTGTTCCTGCCTTCACAGGCACTGCACACATGTGGTGCATATACATATATGCAGGTAAAACATATGCACATAAAATAAAAATCTTTGAAAAATAAAAATCTGTCTTTTCAAAAAAAACTTTCAGGGGGGCTGCAGAGATGACTCAGTAGTTAAGAGCACTGGTTGCTCTTGCAGAGGACACAGGTTCAATTCCCAAGAACCTACATGCCTGCTACAACCATCAGTAACTCCATTTCCAGGGGATCTGTCACCATCTTCTGCCCTCCGAGTGCATTGCATGCACATAGTGCAGTTACATGCATGTACAACACTCATACACATAGAATTAAAAAATAAGTAAAATCAAACTTTCAGGGACCCCACTGTTCTTGGGACTATGTCCAAGTTCCCCAGCCTGAATTTTGAGACATTTCATGAGATGACACAGGCGTTTCTCCATCTCACCAACCAAGGTATCTCACAGACCCCAGGCCAGGCCAGTCCAGACCATGAAAATGCATGGGACAGCAGAGTGGTAGCAGGACTGGTCCTCTGAATCCCCACCAGAGTGGCACCATCTTCAAGCAAGTCACCTTTTTGGTTCTGTGTGTGAAACTGCAGCAAAAGAAGTCATCCTCTTCACAGTTGGGACAGTGTTACTGAAGATACATAAACACAACTTCATCCCACAGTCTTTGCCTTAGGACATCTGAGTCTAGGCTGGGCATGGTGGCACATGCCTTTAATCCCAACATTCAGAAGGCAGAGGCAGGCAGATCTCTATGAATTGAAGGCCAGCTGGGGCTACAGGGAGACCCTGTCTCAAAAAGACCAAAAGAAAAAAAAAATGTCTTGAGTCTGCAGTCACCTCTACTGCTTCAACATTAGGTAGTGCTCTGAACCCAGACTCACACAGATTATCTTGTAGACAAAGAGACATAAAATATGAGTTTGGGGTGGCTGGGGATGTGGATTGCATTGGGTCTGTAGATTACTTTTATAATACAGCCATTTCCACAGTTAATTCTGCCAATCCAGGAGCACTATAGGCTGCCTGTCATCCAATTACTTATTTCAATTTCTTTTTTTCAGTGTCTTCTACTTTTTATTGTGGAAGTCTTTCACCTCCCTGGCTATGCTCACTCTGAGATCCTTTTTTTTTTTAATGTCTTTATGACCTGGCCTGTAACTCCCTATGTGACCAGGCTGGCCTTGAACTCATAGAGATCCATCTGTCTCTGCCTCCCAAGTGCTAGAATCAAAGGCATGCACTACCAAACCTGGCCCTGAGGTACTTTTTTTAAAGCTATCATGAAAGGTCTGTTTTTCCATTTTTCTTTCTCAGCAAGGTTGTTATTGGTATATAGAAAAGTGATTACTTTTTGTGTGTGAACTTTGTGTCCTGAAACTGAAAGTTTTCTGGTGGAATC